GTTTGTGTGGATCGGTCGTCAATGGATTCCCGGGGGCTGCCAACTCGCACACTTACACTCACGCTTCCAGAAATCTTATGTCAAACCTGTATTATTCCATTATAAACCTAAAATTTGCTACAACAGAAGCGGTGGGGCAGTTTGTAAACCCTACAGCAGTGTTTCTCAACCCAGTCCTCAGCGAACCCCAGCCAGTCCACGTTTTTGCTCCCTCCCAGCTCCCAGTGCACCTGTACCAGCTATTCGGTGTTCCTGATTGGCTGGGAGCTGGGAGGGAGCAAAAACGTGGACTGGCTGGGGTTCACTGAGGACTGGGTTGAGAAACACTGCCCTACAGGCTATTTACAAGGTAATAAAACCATTACATACAAATGTGTGTGAGGACTCGTCTCAAACTGAGAATCTCACACCAGCCAGCAGACCAAAGTTGGCAGCCCTGACTCCTATTCCATCCAGGGAGTCCTCCTTGGGGGGGTGGGGGGTGGAAGATGTGGATGCATCAACAGTGCGGAAACACTGGTTCCCTTTGCAGCAGAATGGGAAGTTGTTTAACATGAGCCGAGGTCGCCAGCGACGTCCACTGCGGCCCCGATGATGAAGGCCCCTTCCGCAGTAAAGGGGATGTATTATTATGAAGGCGTCAGGGAGAACTTCCATCTAGGTGTTAAGCAGGGCTCCGTACCACAGAGCGTCATAAGCTGCACTGACAGAGCTGGTGCTCCTGAAGCTACACATGCCTGGACCACAGAATTCATGCAGGAGAACCAGAATGACGGACAGCCGCTAATGCTAATGCTAATGCTAATGCTAATGTTAATGTTAATGCTAATGCAAGCAGTTTGAAATGAGCCTGAGAAGGAAAGTACAGAGTGACAATGAGATATTCGGATGTGGTTGAGGCTGGAAAGGTGGTACATTTGTAATGGAAAATAGAGGCATGCGATGACCAATGTTTCCACCATTGCAGTTGTGACTGGGCTGTCGCAAAGCTCTTGCCACGTTTCAGATTGAAAATTTGTGGTTGCGCATTTATTTCTTCTCAGCACCATAGTTACTTGGGGTCGTCATTTCTGCTCCACATCCGGTTTGTCACTTTCAGCTCCGCCATGCACCGTTATTACAATAACAACACCACAACTTTGTATTTAAATAAAAATAGTATGATGCAAAAGTTGGGCCGGCATGGTGGTGCAGAGGATAGCACTGTTAACTTACACCTCTGGGATCTGGGTTTGAGTCTCTGCCATGGCTCCATGGGTGGAGTTCATATATTCTTCCCGTGTCATTGTGGGGTTTCCTTGGGGTACTTGGGTTTCCCACCACAGTCCAAAAACATGCCAATGCTGATTGGAGCTGCCAAATTATGTGTGTGAATGTGCCCTGTGATGGGTTGGTGTCCCGCCCTGGGTTGTTCCCTGCCTTGTGCCTTTAGCCTCTGGGATAGAATAGGGTAAGAAGGTTCAGAAAATGGATGGATGATGTGATAGTTGACCTCACAAAGTCTGATGAGTATATCAGCTTTTGTGAGGCTAAACACATCAGATAGGGGAGTGGCTGTCTTAGGGAAAAGTCTTCAGGTGGCTGAAACTCAACTCAAACCTGGAACAACTGAGGCTCAAGGGCTTTTCTTAAAGGCCCAAGAGCAAAATCACTCTGCCAGCCGTGCAATTTGAACCGGTGACCTTCAGGTGAGAGCAAATTTATAGCCACATGATACTTCTGGAGGACTTAAAGACCAGGGCCCATCAGTGGTATGATCACCACAGGATTCAAATCCCTGCTTTCATATGGCTGCCTTAAATTCATAAACTCAATATTTAAGCAGAGCTCTAACAAACTCACACCTCTCACTATAGAACCAATTAAAAGTATGACAATGAAAAACTTAGCTAACATTAATTAGCAGTTTCCTGCAGATTGGATGATATGATATTTTTGTCTTTGTAACACAATCAATACATTAGTTTTTCCTGCTTTTCACCACCTACATAAGTTGCACAAAAAAAAAAGACAATTTCTAGTTAAATGATTGGGTTTAAGAGTGCATGTTAGATCCATTTTAGCCAATAAGCATCAATCAGAATCAGAATCAGAATCAGAATTACTTTATTAATCCCCGTGGGGAAATTCTCTTACATTACAAAAACAAACCCCTGATGAAAATAAAGATTTAGGAAAGTTATGTACAGGTGATGGAAGAGATTTTAGATAGAACTATAGAACAATAAAGTAGTTAAAATAAAATAATAAATAAAAATAATAAATAACCAATAAAAATAAAACCTGTAGCAGCAATAATATTAAGTACCTGGGTTTTTACAGCAAATGTATACACCGTATACATGGTTATTTAAGGTGATTGTGCTTATGTTTGTGGTTTGAGTGATCAGATATGTGAGTTAAACAGTTTTATTGCGACCAGCAGGAATGATTTCCTGTGTCTCTCAGTTATTCAGCGTGGAAGTTCTAACCTGTTGCTCATCGAGCTCCTGTCGCTGCTCAGCATATAGTGGAGCGGGTGTGAAGGAAAGTCCAGTATTGGACAATGTTCTCCTCTCCAACACCTTATTGAAAGAGTCCAGTTCCACTCCCACAACTTACCTGACCTTCTTAATGATCTTGTTGAGTCTGTTGGTGTCCATGACCCTCAGGCTGCTGCCCCAGCAGACAGCAGCATACATAATGGCACTGGCCACCACAGACTCGTAGAACATCCGCAGCATCGTCCAGCAGATGTTGAAGGACCTTAGCCGTCTCAGAAAATAGAGATGGCTCTGGCCCTTCCTGTAAACGATGTCCACATGTTTAGACCAGTCCAGTTTTTTGTCCAAGTACACTCCCAGGTATTTGTAATCCTCCACCATGTCCACACTGACGCCCTGTATGTTAACCAAATTAAAAAAAAAAAACAAACAAACTGCACAGTTGAAAGCACAACATAAAATGAAGCCAATCTAATCTGCAATGAAATTTGTCCGAAATCCTTCCTTGGCTAATGAATGGTGACCTGAGGCTCAGTTGATATCCTGGGAGGCCTAAACCAAATTAATGCTGCCCACTGTCACCTACTGTCTCTGTACCAACAAGTACACAGTACAGCAATTCAATACGCTGAGCTACCAAATGAAGTCATGAAATTATATATAAATACATCAATAATCAGTAGATGCTTCCATGGTCCAGTCTGAAATTCAGGAGTGAAGTGCAGAATAGATGAGTCCTAACTTTCCAGATGGTTTCTGGAGTCCTAAAGCTGAAGTTTGTTCTTCCACATGTGGGCCAAGATGGAGAGTGGATGAAGACATGAGTCTCTTACCTTCCACACTTTGGTTTGCTTGCAATTTACTGACATGATTATTACCTGAGATAAAGCAAAAACTGTACAACAATGGCTACTGAGTCACCGATTTTGGTACCGGCGAAGTGGTGAGCCTGCGATGACCTGATTGACTGAGATAAAATATAGGTATGATTGTTGCATGTATCATACATACATCATACACCTGAAGATTCCCCGAAAAGTCTGCAATAAAGAACCTCATCAGACTCAAATTTAATATATAGCAAATTTAAAAAACCTGTGAGGGTGTCTTCCAAGTAAAGCCCAGACAACAAAATATTTATGAAATGAGCCCAGCTATGTTTAAGGTACAAATACAATATGATTTAGTGCAACATATCAATATATACTGCATATCGACAGTATATCTAAAAGGAGAGATCCATCCCCAACTCTGAATGTGTGAGGCTGAAGCGCTACTGACAGAGACACTGTGCTGACTGAACACACAAAACCAACACAAGCAAATTATCGTAGAGCAAAAACAATTAAAAAAAAGCAAAGAAATCAGTATTATAGTTGACAATACTACCATCTACTACAAAAGTGCTACTGTATATTCTCGTATATTTGGAATATTACATATATAACATCACGAGCTTAAGTGTCAAACCTGCCCAGCCTGCATACTGTATGATATGACTCATCTACTTCAGCTGCCTAAATGACAGAGTGGAGCTACAGAGTTACAGCTGCTTTCAGCAACTAATTATACAGAGGAGGCTTAAAAGAAAGATTGGCAGATTAATTTACATTACAGTGTAGTAATGTGAAAGTTTGTGTGTGTATGTGTGTGTGTGAGAGAGAGAGAGAGAGAGAGAGAGAGAGAATGAGAGAGAAAGCGAGATTAGAGGGCAAGAGAGAGGGAGATCGAGCGAGAGAGAGTGTGTGCAAGTAAAATAGTTTGTCAGAGATGGTGGCATTATAATCAAACTCAATTTAACATGTATTTGATTTTTGCTTTATCTCAGGTAATAATCACGGCAATAATAATTGGGTATTACATACTTCTTGCCTGTTCATTAGCAATAGTACCCAAAATGACAGTTATAGAGTTATACAACATAACATCATCCTGTCTAAAGTGTCCAAAGCCTCAGGTAACCTTGACCAGGATCAGCATTTAGAACAGACCGGGGCAACCTTATGCAGAAAGGCCTGTTCGGTATGTGGGTTTTCAGTGCAACTCTCTAATTAGATCACTAATTAGAGGACTGACTGGCTGAAGAGTCCTCACACCTGGATTTGAACAGCTGACCTAAAGGTTATCCCAAAAACCTGCATAGACACTGGCCTTTGTGGATAAGACTGCCCACCCCTGATTTAGAACATGGATGAATGGAAGAAATATTTCAAATTTTATTGCCCATCCTACGGCTGGAGTCATCCAGGATGTCCTGTAATTATCCATCCTCATGATTTTCCCTTCGCCAATCATCACCGAGAATGGTGGTTGAGGTGCCCGCCCATTATCAAGAACGTAAACACGGAAGTCCAAGCGGTCTGGAGGCATTGATGACGACAGGGGTGACGTAACAGAGAGCACCTTCGCCGATTGGTTAGTTTGCTCGGAGGGGCGGGCAGCAAGCAGCCGGAGCGAAGCCGCGGAGCGCTACCGTGCGGAGTTTGGGCTCCAACGGTAACTTTTAAAGTACGGCGAAAGCGGACGCGGCTTGTCATATCGGACTGTGTTGTCAGTACGCGTTTGGTCGGCTCATCGCAGGCTTATGTTTCAAACGGCATCTTTCGATTCTGACGTGGCGAATGTTCAAAGCACCGCGGCGCAGGATGCCTGTGTAGCGTCTCGTTAGCCGCCTAGCCTGCTGTGTACGTGCGTAACCCGCAGATTTAATCATGCGACGCGCCTGTTATGTTATAACACAAATCACAATATTTATGTTCTTCTGTGCCTCATGTAATAACTTAAAAAAGCGTATTGCGCATCACAGACAGGTTTCCCAAGTGACACACGGAAGCGGAAGCAAACTTTAATAGCTAGCACGGTTATGATAAACAGTTTATCGAGGCAAACGTATTTTAAATAATGTCCCTTAGGTGTATTGCCTAAATTAATTTTTAGATGCACGCTATTGCACTATTCTTATTGCTATTTTTAAATGTTAGAGAATAAACATATAGAAATTTATAAACAGAGTTGCACACTTTTTCTGATTTATAGCAAGGGTTCACGTTTTGATTAAGTTCTGGTTGATTTATATGTAAATGTTTATCTTAAGTCAAATTACATAATTAAACTAGATGAAATAATGAGTGAGACAACGCAGCGTTTTGTCCACTAATATACTACCATACTTGGTCGTGCTGTCATCTGACAGTTGTAGAGCTTAACTTAAAAAAATGTGTGTTAACATACCTTCCACTAGATGGGGTAATTGGAAGCATCACCTTAAAGCCCAGTCAGTTGGCCTGCTGCTGTGAAGATGGGTGTCCTAAGAAGCCCCCAATGAAGAACCAAGACCAGTCCAGCTGGGTCAGAACCCAGGACAAGGGCAGCACAAGGAGCAGGGACCGGGATGCCCCAAAGTCCCCTGCGGCCCTGGTCGGGCCCACTGGACCACGGGACAACCTCCCAGTTTTTCTGTTTCCCACAGAGCTGCTGTTCTTCTCCCAGCAGAGCAGCTCTCACAGGAGGGTCCTGACCTTCTACAACCCTTACAGCTTCCCTCTGCGCTTCAAGAGTAAGTCCTTAAGGGGGCGCCGCTTGGAACCGGGTGCATAGAGAATAGAGTGAATAGAGAAGAGGCCTTTTAGAGATGGTCATGTGACCAAGATGGTCATGTGACCTATTGCACTCGAATTGCATGGCCAAAACATTTACCTGTAAACTGACATTCCAATATAACTGCACACAAAACTGGCCAGTGTGAGTATTTAAAGATCAAGCAGTCAACTTATAAACTTAAGCAAATTATAAAGACTTTGCACATTCAATTTAATTTATTTTTTATAGCACCTTTCATAACATATTCACCCTACGGCGCTTGATATGGGTGTGCTGTACTATATTACTATATCATTTGGACATAATAATACATAAAACAGGGAAAAGGAAGTTAATATCTAAGCATTTCCTCTGTCCCACACTTTCCTTTGATTTAGTGCTCTGCACAGCACCCTCTCTCTACACCGTGGTGGATGCAGAGGGAAGCGTCCGGGCCAGGTCTTGTGTGGATATGTGAGTCTCCTTCCCATAATGCATTTGTGGTGCACCTATTTATTTAATTAAATTGAATGGGGGTTGTATGGGAGCAGCAAAGAACTAGCCTGTCCCTACTCTCTCCCAGTGTAGTGCGTCACCAGGACGTGAGCTCCAGGAACTGGGGGCGCCGGGATCGTTTCCGCCTGGAGGTGTGGGGGGGTGGACAGGGGGGCAGCCGGGAGATCTGGGCTGAGCTGCGGGGGGGCCAAGAAGGCGACCGGTCCCAGGGGACCCATCAGAGAAGGGCTGCATCCCCCAGGAGGTCTGTGCCCGCTTTGCCGGAGGGGTACTGGAACCATGATGGAGGTGAGATGGAGATGGAGAGGATGAGAAGGAGGGAATAGAGAAGATGTTGGGGGGGGGGGGGGGTATTTGGAAGCTGGGGCTGCAGTTGAGTCAGCAGTGAGGGCCCTAAGGGCCATTTTCACCCCTTTTTGCATGGCATGGATTCTTGTGCTAAAGATAGATACAAACAGCAGTGCTCGAAGGCACAGGGGCCAGTTTGTGTGGAGTGGGAAGTAAAAGTGTTTTACAACAGCACATCATTAACTGACTAACTGTGGTATAATCCGGAATGTTCTTTTTATAGCGGGTCGATTGAATGCTGGAAGGAAATATTCTGTCAGGTCTCTCCAATGCAGAGCTAACTCACACTCCTAATGGCGCGTGTCACCATTCTGCATTTGATGGAGCTGCCCCTCTTTCAGGTCGAAACGCTTCTCTTTTCGCTCTCTACGTGGTGATCAGCCTGGTGTGCCTCGCATTCCTAATGCTTCCACTGCACAATGAGTCCAGCACTTTGGTTCCCACTGTCATGCACGTCACTGTCATGCAGAAGCTTGTTTGTGCCTACGTACTCGGTAAGATGCTTGTTTTTTGGTCTTTAATGTATGCTTAAGAACGCTGTGTGCCAGTGAAACTCAGTGGTGAATTAGCGTGTTTAAAGAGAGCTGTAATTTTCTCAGGTGCCTAAGGGCAAGTGTCTGACTATCGAAAAACAGCAGAGTCTGCTTTATAAAACTTCTGAGTTGCGTGGCGCTGAGTGGTCCCTCTGAGTGACAGCGGCCGCTCTGTCACCTCACGCTGTAGGTCTGCTTACCATGGTGTTCCTGCGGTGAAGAATGCCTGAGGAGCAGTTGGCAGCACGCAAGCTGTGGTTACAGGCCAACACCGAGCAGCTACATTGTTAAAAGGAGAGACATCGCACCACTTGAATGCTCATGCCTGTGGTGTTCTCTTCTTGGGGGGTGAGGGGTGAGCAAGTGTTTTGCAAGACCTGCTGAAATAATAGCATGTATAATACAGAGTCGAAGCTTATATCTATAACCAGGTGGTGCTCACGTGACTGGTTTGGTTACGGGGATGATCTGGGTCGACCAGTCATTTTGGTTGACTGGAATGGGATCCAAGAGTTGGGTTGGGTTCCTGGTTGTAGTACAGTGCGCTCTGCTGGGAGAATGGACACCTGCAAAACACCTGCCAGTAGTGTAATAATGGCCAATAATGTCAACTCATTGACATCTTGCTAAGAGTAGACTGGAAGTAGCCTCATTTGAAACGTCTCGCAGTGTTGGGTCCACGTCTGCTTGTCGGTGCCAAATGACCAAACCCTTTTTAGTACAGCACCCCCCACTGGTTATTTTTGTAACTGCAGCGGCGCTTTGAAGTAGTTTTAGTGGGCATCAATATTGCTCTCTATAGTCCATAGAAATGCTGCTCTCATTTTATATCATTTATGGTTGCTGGCTCAAGTGTTGTTCAGAAGTATGAGATGGACCAAATCTGATCAGTGTGAGAAGTGCATGTACTCCTGCCAATGTCCACAGTTTGAATGAATAAAGAATAAAGAGTATTTTAATGATGTCTTGTTCACATGCTACAGAGGTCTCTTCAGTTTTAACGCTAATGTGAAACGTAGCTGGCCGTGGTGGACAGCAGAATGTTATGAATGCAAACTCAGGTCATGGCTTTAATTGGTCCTGTGTTGTTGTTCCATGCAAATATTTGACCAATAAATCCACTTATATGAACTTATTGGTGTCTGGTTTATAAACAGTATTTTTCACATTGTGTGCCTATACAAAAATAGCAACTGTGAGTTGCAAAATGTAAAAATACAGAATCTCCACTCGTTCCGGGAGCCATAATTATGAGTTGATGTGTAATAGGCATGGATTTGCTGGGAATGCACATTGTGGAACACAGAGCTGGCAGGCAGGCAGGCGGGGGGGGGGGGCTCAGCCTCTGCCTCTACAGCCAGATTGTACTGCTGACAGCAGCATTGCTGTTTGCTCCTAAAATGGAAGCCACATCCCCCAAAATGTCTTGTGCACCCAGTTCTAATAGCCATGAAGGGGACAGACTATGCAGTTCACAGCTGTCTGTAGTACATTCAATTATTGAACAATAAAAACAACCTGGTCATTGTTATTACTGCTACTTTTATCTACGCATCCAGTTTTCATAACTGCTTATTCAATATAGGCTGACTATAAATATTGCTGGTGACACCCCCAGGCTGCTATCTAGCATTGCTTCCAGTGGATTGGCCACATCTCCCAGTTTCCTTGGCACAGGAGTGCTTTTTTTTTTTTACCCAGTACACCATTCTCCGGAGATCCATGAGTAGGGGAAGTTTAATTATGACAGGCGTCTACATTCTTGTAAAACAGGGAAGTTTCAGCAGCAACCATACCATTTTGCAACATATGGGTTTAGTTGCCCTTTCGTACTTGTGGATGAATCGATGATTTTTGAGGCTTAGGATCAGTGACATTTCTCTACTGCAAAATAGCAGTAGTTAGTAATCAACTTAGTTGTTAATTGAAGGCACTACTTATCGATGTGTTTTTCTGCGGAATAAATGGAAGAAGTATTTAGACTTTTTATTTTTTTTATTTCCAGCATAACTGCATTTACAGCTGCACAACACCCATGCTGTATTCTAAGCAATGCTTTATGCGTTGGGACTTGGTGGAACTCTTGAATCTCATTGGTCAATGGGCAGAAATGGCATTGAGTTCATGCCGCCTGCAGAGTATTTGTATCCTTTTGGAATTACCAACGGGCTCTTGCAGGAGTTCCCAACCAGATCCGTCCCAGCAAACTCACAGGCCACGCGTGATGGTAGCCCATTATTTGGAAAACAAGTAACTGTCAAACATCTTGACAAGTTTTAAAGGCTCACTGGAAAGGGACCTCTATAATTGTGCTGTCATCTTTCTCTGACATACGATTACATTTAGACGCTCAATATGTTTAATCTGAAGCACTTCAATTTTCCCTGCCCATTTTATACAGCTGGATATCTTCTGGCCCAATGCACATGCCCCATCTGAAGGTAATACAGCAAGACCCCTTCTGGAATCAGACACCTTGGGGCTACAAGGCCCATTCCCCAATCACTGCATTGCCACTGGCTCCTGACCACCCAGGGAACGGAGTCGTTTGCAGACTTTGGATGATGGTTACTGTCGATGCCCACAGGGCAAAACAGAGACTGTGCCAGGGAGGAAAATGAGTTCAGGAAGACTTTATTGAATCTTTAGTGTTATTCTATAAGATCCTACCACACAGTGCCCGATTGCGCAGGCCTTGGCGATTTACCTGCCAGTCACGCAGACTGAGATGCACCTGTACACACATCACGCTCACATCTCATGCAAAATGTGTAGCAATCTTCCAAGTCATCTGCGACTTCGCAGCTAGAAAAAGGAAAGAGTATAATATCTATACAATTTAAATAAACTTTAAACTACTTATTAATAAATAGTCTGAAATGTTCTAATGTTGCACAGATCTCTAAATCCTGTTTCTTCGTACCATGACGGGGGTGATGATGGTTTTGACGAGACAGGTGCAGCAGGTCGGTAGGTTAAATGGAACGTAAGTCGGTGGGGGGGGGGGACTTTGAGTTGACGTTGACATAACCTGCAGTACAACTGTCACACGCTACCCGTAGCGGAACCTGCTGCCTCAGATTTCAGATGGATGCTCTCTTGGGTCATTAAATTCTTCCTGGACATGTGTGCTTGTGAAATTGAGTAGCTGTGTGTGCTGCGTTTCGCATGAAGGGGCGGGTGGGGGGGTGAATTTGTGGTCCCTGTCTTGGGAGTACGCTGAGCCAAACCGATACCTGTCAGCTCTCTAATAATGGAGCCTAAGGAGAAGGTAGAGCATATTTTGAAGGTGCAAAAAAAAAAAAAATGAATGTAAAGCGACATTCCAGGAGCGGGGGCTGCATTCCACCTCATTTTCACTGCTTTTTCCATTGCAAGTTCGCCTGTCATTATTTCTGCAGCTACCTATATAAAAACTAGGGATTATGTCATTCTATAAAGAGAACATTTTCTTCCTCTTAAAAGGCAAGCAAGGTACATTCATTACAGGATTTTTTTTTTCTTTTGCAAGACAGTATTTTCAGTTTTACAAGCAATATTAATTATGCAGTGCAATACCAGTTTATGTATATACAAAAACCTTTAGAAGGATTCTCATTTCCCCAGATCTCTTCCTGTTGTTTACTCTCAAAGAAATAACTTTGATTAAATAAATATCTCTTAATTTCCTCAAACTCCAAACTCTTCCAAAGAGCAAACTGACAAGCAAGATAGGTGTTGATCATAATGTAGGTGGGCATTGGGTCACAGATTAAAATTAAACATCCACTGTTCTGCTCCCCGTTTCATCTTTGTTTTACTACGGAAAGAATAGTTACCGTTTCATCGACGCATTTCTATTCTCAGTGAAAAGCTTCACTTAAAAGTGAAGTGACACAATTTTTTTTGTTAACTTATTAAATGTAAATTGCCACATGCCCTTACTTTAAGCAGCCGTTTTTTTGTTTTTTTTTGCAGATAAATGACGGTCGACGTCAGAACTGGTGCAAAACACCACTCTTCCTTGAAGCAAAGCAGCACGATCTAGAACAATTTGTTACACCCAGAGCAGCCACTATTAACAGTATCCTCTCTTTATTCTTAAAAGGAGAGTTCTACCGTCTTGGAGTGTGGCTTGTTCCCATGAATACTGACCTGTGACACACTACCTCACACATCAGGAGTTCCCATTAAAATGTGAGGAAACCTGAACCTCCAAAAGGTGTCCCTTCATGAAAGTTAGTGACATTGGCTGGCTGCATGATGAGGGTGCATTTACACAGATGGGCAGTAGGGGGAGCCCTGTTCCACCCTCCTCTCAGAATGCACCACCTCTCTTCCACATGCACAGCTCAGATAAGGCGTAACTATGGATAACATGGATGGATTGTGGACACCTATAAATGCGGTCAGGATTAGCAGGGTGGGGGCTCCATAGGCAGGGCGCTGTGGGGAGGCCAGCTGGACCACGGTGCCCGTCAGACCAGTCTGATGGCCATCAGTCTTGAGCTCAAGGTCTGTGACCAGGCAGCCAGCTAACTGGTTATCCTGGGCTCTTCGTCTATCCATCTAACATCGATTCATGTGGCATAATCCTCCGTCACCCCTGCCTCGCAAAGCTTTTAGTTACTAAAGGGACATGCGCTCCTTTAATGAGGGTCAAGCTGTAGACATCAGGGTCGGAAATGGTCTGGTCTCGCATTTACAAGTGGTCTCTGTTGTCCTTATGAAGCACGTTTAGAATCAGAACCAGGCCACTCAGAGTCCTTTAGCAGCATTGATTTCCCTGCGATATCTAAGCTTTGTGTTTCATAACCTTGTGATGTGCTTTTACGTTTCATTTATAGAATGCATTAGCTTATTGGGAATACCTGTTGGGTTTAAATACATATATTTCATACGTTTCTAAGTAAATGTGCAGTAATAATATTGGAAGCGCAGCACTGGATAGACATGCGGTTGGTTATACTGGAGAGCAGGCCCGTCGTCCACGTATCTCCTGCATCTCCTGTGGATTTAGCACCTCCTCTTCTTCCTCCTCCTCACTCCCTCTGGTTCTCCAGACCTGCCCACATCATGCTCGGGACTCCTTCTTGGAGTGTGGCTTGTTCCCAAGCAGGGAGTCGATCTCGCTCACCGTCTGCGGCGTCATCTGGGACAAGACCTGTGACACAGGGTGCGAGCAAGAGAGAGTGACGGGGTTACGCCGTAAGTCCATCAGCTCAATCAATGCACTGGTCGTACTACCGGACCCTGACCTGCCAAGGAACCACACGCAGAGCTAAAAACTTGGCTCAGCTTCTTATAGCCTGGGCTTTAATCAACTCCAAATCCAATTTAGATAATGATTTTCCACGCAACTGCAGTAAATGCATTAAATGACTAAGCCAAAAGATCTTTTTATGGTATAAATAGAAATGTAATGTTGGCCACCTATCAGAAATAAAGCTTCTAAGCCCTAGATCGTAGACAATGTACAATCATGGACTATATAAAATATTCAGCTGTATCAAAGGGGAGAAATTGACCCACCTGTAACTGACATATACAGTGAAACCCGCCTGTCGCGGAAGATACGTTCCAGACCCATCAGCGATAGGTGAAAATCCGCGATATAGAAAGACTATATAAATAAACATTTTTTAATATAGTTTAAGCCTTAAAATAGCCCTCCCACACACTTTAAACACATGTGGATGTTGGGGAAAGGATCTGAGTAACACAATAATAATAAAATATTTATATATATATATATATATATATATATATATACACACACACACACACATCTCTCTGTATACGTAATGGAATATATAAAAATAAAAACATATATGGCTCATATATTCTTTTCATCCTTCTCGATGTAGCGTACCGTCGAGTCATTCAAGCCATAATGGCGAGTGACGTCGAAGCATATCCAGGGGTTTTACCTTCTAAGCTGGCGCTTAGGCTCACAGCTACCAGAAGGCTTAGAAGATGCGGGACGCTTGGGAGCCGTCGTAGGACTTTAAACAGAAGGAAAACAATCGCACCACAAGCAAGGTAGGCGATACGCAGAGAACTGTGACGCGTCGGGAAAAAATCTGTGATGTAGCGGGGGCACGATAGCTGAACCGCGATATAGTGGGGGATCACTGTACATCTGAAGACCATTTA